CAAAGACGAAAGAACTTTCTGGGAATAGTTGTTTACTACCGTAAGTTTGGTCAAGATTTCTCACTTGTGGCAACCCCTCCCACTTATTTCTCACTTGTGGCAACCCCTCCCACTTATTTCTCACTTGTGGCAATCCCTCCCACTTATTTCTCACTTGTGGCAATCCCTCCCACTTATTTCTCACTTGTGGCAATCCCTCCCACTTATTTCTCACTTGTGGCAATCCCTCCCACTTATTTCTCACTTGTGGCAATCCCTCCCACTTATTTCTCACTTGTGGCAATCCCTCCCACTTATTTCTCACTTGTGGCAATCCCTCCCACTTATTTCTCACTTGTGGCAATCCCTCCCACTTATTTCTCACTTGTGGCAATCCCTCCCACTTATTTCTCACTTGTGGCAATCCCTCCCACTTATTTCTCACTTGTGGCAATCCCTCCCACTTATTTCTCACTTGTGGCAATCCCTCCCACTTATTTCTCACTTGTGGCAATCCCTCCCACTTATTTCTCACTTGTGGCAACCCCTCCCACTTATTTCTCACTTGTGGCAACCCCTCCCACTTATTTCTCACTTGTGGCAATCCCTCCCACTTATTTCTCACTTGTGGCAATCCCTCCCACTTATTTCTTACTTGTGGCAATCCCTCCCACTTATTTCTCACTTGTGGCAATCCCTCCCACTTATTTCTCACTTGTGGCAACCCTTCCCCCTTTTTTTCACTTGTGGCACCCCTCCCACTTGTTTCTCACTTGTGGCAATCCCTCCCACTTATTTCTCACTTGTGGCAATCCCTCCCACTTATTTCTCACTTGTGGCAATCCCTCCCACTTATTTCTCACTTGTGGCAACCCTTCCCCCTTTTTTTCACTTGTGGCACCCCTCCCACTTGTTTCTCACTTGTGGCAATCCCTCCCACTTATTTCTGACTTGTGGCAATTCCTCCCACTTATTTCTCACTTGTGGCAATCCTCCCACTTATTTGCTTGGCAAAAGAAAGAAATTTGATTGGGACAGCAATTGTAATTTACAAACATTGTGAGTCTGTTTTCTTTAAGAATTGGAAGTTGTTAAAGTAACATGCTGCAACAGTAGGAACAGTATCAGAATGAATCAAGGTTGGCAGATGGTGTACAAGGTGACTCAAATCCGCCTTCGAGAGTACATTTTACACCACTGTCACCTTGAAACCGAAATATGTCCTGTGTCTGGTCAGTCATCCATATCTATACGGGCAAGCTACATAAGGACCTTGACATTACCCACCCCGGATATACTTCCGGTAAAGCAAGATACGGATGATCATGTTGATGTCACACAATTCGTGAGTACAGTCTTTATTTATAGACTCTTCCACTGGTCAGCAGGAACTGTACTAGTTGTGATATCAAACAAAACTACTAAATCTGAATCTAATATTTGTTTTAATTTACCTTTTATTACCTTTACAATATCTTACATTCCTAAGTTTCTATTACACTAAACCTCTGTCAAACAATCTAACACCCAAATGGTTACCACTAACGAACTATCTCAAGGCTTGCTGCCTTATCAACATATCGAAACGAACTAACTACAATTTCCCTTCGAACTCCACACGTGGCGAAAACGCATGCTTTTTGCATGCTCGAGCTTTCCGCGAAGTAAGTTGTTGTCAGGTGTGTTTTCGCGAACTGTTCGTATGTACATAAACTGAAACCTAATAACCTGTCTGGTTAACAGTAGTGAATAAATCAGTACAACGAATGAACAATACATTTATGTGGACAATCCTTTTGTCCATCCACTCTGTTCGGACCAGATCGTGTAACAGATACGCGTCTCCACTTTAACACTTACAGACAATTTAGTATGTGAATCTCGCTCAACGAGCCCACGCAGCTGAAGTCGGTAGCGCCGGTATGACGTACGTAAGAGATATGAGATGACATCGACGATAGTGTCGAGCATGTTCCGGGATTCCAGTTATTCATACAATAATCTTGTGACGTCATGTTTACTTTACACGTGACGTTATATCTGAGCCCGCGTGAAGTCAGGTCTACTTCATAAGTGACGTTATATCTGCTGCCCACGTGTCGTCATGTCAACTTTCAATGTGACGTTATATCTAACATGTTATATTTGGGATTAAAAATGGCATTGTGTATTTCATGACGTTATATCTGTTGCCCACGTGTCGTCATGTCAACTTTCAATGTGACGTTATATCTGCTGCCCACATGACGTCATGTTTACTTCACACGTGACGTTATATCTGCTGCCCATGTGACGTCATGTTTACTTCACACGTGACGTTATATCTGCTGCCCGCGTGATATATCTGCTGCCCACGTGACGTCATGTTTACTTTACACGTGACGTTATATCTGAGCCCGCGTGAAGTCAGGTCTACTTCATAAGTGACGTTATATCTGCTGCCCACATGACGTCATGTCTACTTCACACGTTACGTTATATCTGCTGCCCACGTGACGTCATGTCTACTTCACACGTGACGTTATATCTGCTGCCCACGAGACGTCATGTTTACTTCACACGTTACGTTATATCTGCTGCCCACGTGACGTCATGTCTACTTCACACGTGACGTTATATCTGCTGCCCACATGTCGTCATGTTTACTTTACACGTGTTGTTTCCCACGTGACGTTACATCTGCATCCCTTGCAAGGAGGTTACATCTGCAAGTGTAAATGTAACGATATCATGAAAGATTTCAATTTAGACTTATTTTATTGGGAAGTTGTCGTTTAATGAGTGGTACGGCTATGATGACGCTTTCAAAATAGCACATTATTATGTTGAATAATTTAGGAGAAAAGAGTTACCTTTATAATGTCCCGGTCCAGTTGTCTGATGGACCAGCGTGAGATTCGAAATTGGGTGAAATCAAAGATCTTATTGATAGATTTGTTGCTGACGATCTGATTGTCATCTAGCAAACGTTGTACCCATTTATTTCATTCTCAATGGGGTTTTTTTTAACCCGACACACATCTGCAGTGAGTGAGTTTAGTTTTACGCCACTTTTAGCAATATTCCAGCAATGTCACGGCGGGGGACAATAGAAATGATCGTGACGAGCGAACGCTTTAACCACAAGGCTACCTCACAGCCCCGCACTCCTCTGTAACAGGCACAATGACGAGAAAGTTAACATTCAGTTAACCAGCTTATAGAGGGTCGGACCCATGTTTCACTTCAGTCGTCTCAAACATACGCTGGAAACTAAGTAGTCAAGTTATATTTCCCATCAATGTAGCGCAGAACTGAGTCGCTTTTCACTTTTGGGGAGACACTTCAGAACGGTGTCCTGCCGAGAAACCGAGTGTCAAAATCGGGGTGAATCTGGGGTTCGAATCCACATTTTGAATGTACAGGGGGTCGCTACCGCCGGGCAGTAGGTGGACAGTGTGAAGTTCGGAGTGGTTGTCACCTGTACACAAGTTTGGCGGTGATGGTTCTCCAGAGAACGGCTCGTGATTTGTCAGTGTTCTATACTCCCAAAGATACCCTGCTGTCGATCGCAGCACTAAATGTTTCACTCCCCTCGGCGTGCCACAGGAAGCCCGGTTTGTAATAGGTGCATTTATGTGCGTGCATCCTTGTTGATTTCACACGCTGAATCATAGACTAGGCAATTTGCAATCCATTGGCACTTGCCTTTTACATAACTCTCGACCTTTCATGGAACTTACGTGGTTTGTCTGAGTTAATGTAGTGAGATAATGGATCAGTTTCACGGGGAGAGTGTTTTGGACAGATCGTGTGGCAGTGGCATCACTCGTGTGAAGACGGATCATTCCTCCACCGTGTGTGTAGTCAGTCATGTACGGATACCTGTTGTCGTATGGGTCCATTTTACCGCATCTAGTATTGTAAACCTGTAGTAGCCTACTACTATCACCTATACTACTGCAACAGGGGCGGTGGGGAAGCCTAGTAGCGACGCAGAGCCATACTCACTCACTCACTCACCCACTCCTGCAACAACTACCCTACCATTAAGATCATCACTACAACTACTACCACCACCTACTACTACAAGCATCACCATCGCGACCACACCCACAGCCACCCCTCTACTACCACTGCTGCTACTGCTGGTGTTGGATTTACAACTACGACCACAGCGTTGACCACTGCTTCAACTGCCGTGACCCAAAAACTACTCGTCTACAACTCCCTCCATGACAACCGTTTGAACTAATTCGGCATACGATCACAAATACGGTGTCAATCGCTTTCAAGAATATCTACACCACAGGGGCGTGTCACGCTTAGATTACTAGGAATTACTAGCTACCCTAGATTACTAGGAATTTGTAGGGTCTATATACCTATATGTCTTTCTAACGCTGTTTCTAAGCGTGACACGCCCCTGTGATCTACACCGTCTTCATATCAAAATTTGCGTAGATCATTGTTACGCAATAAATCACTAAACGGCAAATCCTTAATATTGTATCAACCAGGGACGCTTACTTGGAGAGTTGCGTCTGACGTACTGTTCAAAACCCTACAATTATTACCTTGATACTTAGAACATAATTTGCCCTCGTAAATATATAATAGTAGACTACATGAGTGTGTTATATTGTAGCGGTAGAAGGGTGGAGTTGTATGCGATCATGCTTCAGTTCACCACGCTCGGCATATAATAGCTTACTGTCCCAAGGTAAAGTGCACTTCTCTCACTTCTTAGTGCGACAAGTGTTTGTTGATAATACTTCAACGATAGTATATATTCCTTAATACATCTTTTAACACGAGACCGATACGAATACATTTCTGATATATATTAGGGGAGAAATCAACCAAAGTTATGGTAATGAATTGGGGAACTCAATGTATTATTATTTTTCATATTGCATTCTATCGATTAGGTAATCAAACGCAGCAAGCTTTTTTATCCGAAGCTATTTCAGCACCTAAATCTGTATTCGTATTTAGTGCAGTAATGATTTTAAAACCAACCCATCAAAGGGAGACAATAATCCAGACATTTGATAGAAACCCGCCTCCGATGTTCAGTGATTATGGTGATTATTTTCTCCCTAGTATGATGATGATCGGAATAGGTATGTGATAACTGTTTCCTGGATTGTAACATTTGTTTGATGGCATGTTCCTTATTTTTTGCAGGCATGCCGTTATATGCATTGTGCGAGGCACGCTGATTTATTAGAGCAAAAAATGACTTCGACATTACATGTTGCAGGGACATGATTCTTCTCTCTGCGTGTTCGCCGTTACCTTGTTTTGTAGGTCAGATTTGGCACTCACAAAACTGTGAATACTTTCCGCTACGGTCGGATTATTAGCTGTTTAGTTTTTAAGAATTGGCAAGAATTCGGTATGCAATTTCGTCAGAATTGTCATTGTATCGGAATAAAATCAATATACTTTCATCAAACCGATTTATGACATTGCAATATTCCATGCCGAGACCAGACGTGGAGCAAGCGAGGATCCTACTCACATTTATAAAGAAAGTCGAAATAATGACACAGAACATAACTGACCACAGCTGCTTCACGGGAGGTTAACAAATAGCTCAGATCCAGTCTTAATGGTAATAACATTTTCAAGACTTTTATCAACTCTTACAAATGTCGAATGTCCCAGGTTATGCTGCTCCTGTCCAAGTCAAAATGACATAAGTGAGTCGAGTGTAGAAATGTCAATGGTTGATTTGGGAATATGGAACATAGTGGACAAGAACTGATGGACCATAACTCATGCCTGTTCAGTATAGCCATTGTGGACACAGAATTATCTGTGTAACCTGACAAATCAGATGTGTACTGAGCCCTAAGAACATAATGAACATAGACAGATTTACATACGAGGTGAAACAATCAAGGAAGTAATTTCCCTGTCTGCATATTGATATTCACATCATTGCAACAAGTCATTTTTCAGTCCAAAAATATATATAGTGAAACAAATTCATTGTTTACCCAATGGTACCTGTTTCAAATGCAAACAAATATGATGTCCTCATTTGTTTTACTGAAGATATAAATCTTCCTTGTCAGATGTTATTAGTCTCTCAGCCAACTCAGTTGAAATCACTTGATTGATGATTGGTTCATTACAGCCATTCAATCATCCACAATAAGGTTAAAATCATTTATCATGTTTTCCTGTGATGGTTGTTAATGCATGTAGTTCTTTGTTTTTTATGATGCAAATTGCACTTAAAATTATTATTTCCATTAATTGTGACACCACTAATTTTGATTGTGCTAAAACCTTTGTGTTACTTGACCATAACCTTTCTCCTAGCATCCCTGTGTGTTGTGGTGCCATGCAAAACTCATCTGAATTGAACAGGACATACACTTCATGCTAGTTGTTAAGTTGCAGAGTGTTTTAATGATGGTGTATACATGTTTTTGAATGTTATTTAACATGATCTGTGATGTGTTTTGTTTTTTATCTAATGTATTCTGACGGGAAATCCAGCAACAAGTCTGAAATCCCAGCCTAGGATTTGTTTGGACCAGTAAGCTTAACAAATAATGGTCTACATGATAGCACTGCTGAAAATAATGTGATGAGCCATGTGCAGGCATATGCACTCAGAGGGTTGGACACAAACTGAACTCAACAGAGTGGGGGTCAGTTATAGTTTGGATGACATGCAGACAAAACAGTTTGTTGTTATTGCAGACAGTGACGGAAGCAGTGGTATGAATTGTCTGTATTTACACTCAGTGAAGAAGACCCAAAGAGACTCTCTGTGTCAGTATAGAAGCATGAGATAAATACTTATAGATTAATTCTGATGGGTACAGGATACTACAGTTGACCATGTGTCCAGGACTGGTACTAACATTGGAAGAGGATATTCCTAATATCAGGGCTGTGACATGCAGTACCATTACACGTGTACCACTACTCATGTACCACCACATATATGCTACTATACACGTACCACAACACATGTACCACCACACACGTTCCACCACACTTGCACTACATTACATGTACCACCACATATATGCTACTATACACGTACCACAACACATGTACCACCACACACGTTCCACCACACTTGCACTACATTACATGTACCACCACATATATGCTACTATACACGTACCACAACACATGTACCACCACACACGTTCCACCACACTTGCACTACATTACATGTACCACCACATATTACATGTCTACCGCTACACGTGTAACAGCATTCTATAGTATGTACAATAGCTGTTCAGCTTTCATTATTGCTGCACTTGAGTAAAAAAAATCTTACAGAATTAATTAGCTGTGTATTCCCATGGTTACTGATGATAATGTACTTTGGTATGTAGATTAAATTTGAACTTGAAGGGTTGAACAGTTTCAAAATGTTAATGAACATTTAGTATGCCTCAAGTGACACGAGCGGCATAAGTGTTCAAACACAAGTTGGTAAGGTTTTCACCCGACAAATATGTGCTGTTGCTTAGTTCCTCTTCACTTAAGTCAAATGCTGATGCCATGTTTTCACATGTATATATAAATATTGTGTAATGTCTGTGCCAGAGGTGACTATTTTCACTATTGCAGTTGTAGCCCACACTGATGCCTTACTATTGTGAAAGTACTAAATCTACAAATATTTGTGTTAATTTGAGATTCTGTTTCTTTCAATCTGTGTAGACATGAATGTGTAGCTTCAAGTCGGCTGTGTGCCCCCTGATTGTTAGGTCCTACTCTCCATTGTTTGTTCTCCATCACTTCCAGGAATGAAGTCTGTTAGTTTAACAGGTTTAATAATCAAACAGTTAATTGCTACAAATCATAATCACAAGTTTGCACGAATAATTAAATACCAATAAATCATAACCTGCATATGCCTATTGCATGCATGATTGGTGTAAATCAGTGAGTCGTGGTTATCTACACTATGATCACGGCAGGAATAATGATCAGCTCATGGTGAATCACTGGCAGCTTTATATAATGAATAGTCCGTGCCAAGTCCTCTGGAGTCAACTGGCCTGATCATGGCTCTTCACATCAGTTTCATTAGATATTAGTGTTCCCATTTGGAATATTATTGACTGAGCTATCCACGACCGAACAGAATTTTATTTAACACAGGCATAATACTTTCAACTGGCTAAAGTTGGATCTTGGAAAGAGGACATGGTACTAGTACTATATTATTTCAAACAGACTTAACGGCAGATAACAGTTTGTTTGGTCCTTGCCACTTTGCTGTATATTTTAGTTGTGTAACAAACTATAATTAGTGCTCCCTTTGCGCGTTCATTCTAACAGTACTGGATTATTATGTCAAAGTTGTCTTCATATATGTGTGTTCGTAGAAGGAACAGGTTTAATCAAAACAAAATGAGATCGGTTTGACCGTCTGATCGTTACGAGAGCATATTCTGGTGATGTGAGCGACATTTATCAATCACCCCAGCTCATACTGTGGCACGCAATATGGTTCCATGATGGTTATCCAGCTAGGACGTGGGCTGTGTTATCTATATGGTAATATAAGCAGGAGCTGCAATATTGGGGAGAGGTGGGGTGGCCCAGTGTTCATGTTAGATTCATTGTTTCATGTGAGACGGAACTCCTGTCATGTCTTGATCTCTCGTCGTGGACAGTCCGTGGATACATGTTGTTTGTGTCCCGGTGACTGTAGTTACTCTGTCAGGTTTTTATGGCCATGATTCCCCGCAGGTTCGTAACAATTAACTTCGTATACTTACGTAGCTTCTGAAATGAGAAATGGATTGGAACAAGTAGAAAATAATAGTTATTTTCAAGTTTATGTGTAGCTGTCATGGTTACCAATGTATCGGTTCTGAGAATGCTACAATTTAAAATGGTCTAGAGATAAGTTATGTTCACTTGAATTCCTTTGAAAGAGTGGGGAGGTACTAGGAAACATCTAAATGTCGAACAACTGTGTATGATTTTGTATGTAGGTCAATTATCTTACAAGAATAAACACGGTACGTGCTGCTTACTAATATTACCCTCACAAGATCATATTCATTATGCTCATTCAGGCATGCAGGTGTAGATTGTATAACAGCTGGCAGATGGATATATAAAGCTTACATCAAGGACAAAAAACAGGTGTAGAGTCAGGCGTTTACCTCACCAGGTGAGTGTTTTAAACAAATGCATGTTTGTATTCAACTGTAGTCGGATAACTGATGAGCCACTGTGTTGTACATGTCTTGCATATCTTATATTGTGACACGTTAATTGTACAGCAGTGGTCTTTTTTAGAAAGCAGCAAGGCTCAAAACCATGATGTTAGGATTTATAGATGTAGTATATTATCAGATTCTCCACCCTCCCAGCCACACCCTCCCATTCTCCACCCCCAATCCCCATCCTTTCTGGTGTGGTGCCTGCAGGGTCTACAATGCCACTAGTGAATGCCATGTTTTATCAACACAACCATCTTATTTTTCATCAGTAATTCCCAACTTACGTTTTTGTGGCATTTTAAAAGTTGAGAAGTACAATATTGACTAATCGTTGTCCACTGAACTGTTGTCCCATAGGAAATCGTTTCCTGCTTGACAATGGTACAAGAATCTTTATCGAAACATTGCACTCACAAAATAAAAGAAGTTGTTATCCATAAGGTTTGTCAATATTCATGTTTGCGGTGATTCAATTCAGATTCAATGTTGATAAGCTGTCACCATGAATATGTAAAAATGGTTTTACGGGTGCTGTGGTTATTCAAGCGACAATCGTTATATGTGTCACTCGACCACAGCCAGTCTGACCGCCAACTTTCTCAATGTCAAGTGAAGAAGTCAAATTCCTAACCAAATCTTCCTGAAGATCTATGTACAGTAAGTGTTCATGTGTTAATATTGAGAAGTGTTATCATCACAGACAGGGTGTGCTGGACAGGGTAAGTGCAAGCATTGAGAAATCACGAGTCTGTTCACTGTTAGTTGTATGATCATGTAAAATGAGACCATCATCAGACACCACCCTGTCATAAATTCATTTCCCTTTTTAGGACATAGTGAGTTGATTTTAGATATGAAATGAAAGTTATCTGAGTGGTAACTATCATCCCGCTAGAGGT